AGTGATGTATAGTTTATGTGTCCAAACCTCCTATACCAAAGTGTGGACTCATCAACTGAGCTTGTGAATGCATGTGAAGTTACCTTTTTCCACTCTAAAGGAAAACTTCTTTGTTTCCTCTCCACAGACATCAGTTCATTATTACTTGGATCTAATATAGTGCAGCCATTGCCTTTGAAAATCAGTGTGAATTTCTTCTCAATCAACTGGCCTACACTAATTAGATTTTGATCTATATTAGTCACATAAAGGACATCAGAAATAAGCTTGGTACCTATTGGAGTTTGTACAGAAACTACTCCAATTCCTTTCACCTCCACATGATCTCCATTGCCAACTTTAACTCTTGATCTATAGTTGTCATTCAATTCAACAAAGATGCTGAGGTCCGAAGTCATGTGATGGGTGCATCCACTGTCCAGTAACCAGCCTCCAATATTGCTAGACATTTTGTAGTTTGCAGCAGCAAACAGATGCTCTTCCAGCTGATCTGGTTGCTGACTTTCAGCAATTTTAGCTTGCTGCTCAATCTGCTTCCTTTTCTTGTTTCTACAAACCCTTTGAACATGTCCAAACTCCTTACATGACTTGCATTGCGCCCCTGGTTTGAACCAGCACCAATTTGGAGAACGTCCAGTCTTTTGACAGTGTGGACATGGAGGATAAGCAAAGTTTTTATCAGCACCCTTGTTGCCTTCGAATCTTCTCTTGTCTTGCTGATTTTTCCTTGGCCTAAAGCTAGTCTGTGCCTTATGCTTTCCTTTAACAAACAAGGCACCTTCTACTTGATCTTCTTGCCTCATTAACCTCCCTTGCTCAATGGCTTGCAAGGCATTAACCAGCTCAGATAAGGTGATGGATGACAGATCTCTAGAGTTTTCAAGAGATGAGATTTTCGCTTCAAACTTTTCTGGCAAGCTAATCCGCACCTTTTCAACGACCCTTCTATCAGGTAAGTCATATCCCAAAAGCCTTATCTTGTTCACTACCTTAATCAGCCTATCAGCATAATCTTTGACAGATTCAGAATCCTTCATTTTCAGGCCCTCATATTCTCTTCTCAAGTTCAAGACTTGCATTTGTCTTGTTCTTGCATTGCCTCTGAACTCCTCTTGCAACCTGTCCCAAGCCTCCTTTGCAGTTTCACAGGTTATTGTTCTGGTAAATATTGCATCAGTCACAGCTGACTGGATGCAGAACAAGGCTTTAAACTTTTTTGCAACCTCCTCACTATGTTGTTTCAATTGAGCAATTGTAGGATTTGCTGTTAAGGCTGGTGGTTCAACACCCGATTCTGTGGGAAATCCACAGATCATAAGCCTTTAAATAAACCTTCATCTTTGCTGCCCAGAAGTCATAATTCTCACCTTTGAAAGCAGAAGGTAAAGGTGCTGAGAATCCAGTTGAAGCCATTGGATTTTGATCCTATGTCTTGACTAATATGGTGAAGGTTTTTAGTGTAGGTTCCTTACTTGTTTTCTCTCTTTTTTGGTCTCACAGATCCCTCCTTCAAAGATCATTCATGCTCTGATACCACTGTTAATCAGAATTCGAAATGGAGAGGAGAAGGATGATGATTTTCTGAAGTGAATAGGATTATTCAGCCATTAGTAAGAAACTGATTTCCAAGAGATATATAAAAGATGTTCTAGCACATCTTTCTACCAACTACCTGCTACATCCTTACTTAAGGACACACATTGCATCATTACATAAAGACATGCTGGTGCAGGCTATACATCAGAAAAATGTAAAGGATTGCTCCCTATAATCATTACAAAATACATAGGGCTTGACAACAAAATAAACAGAGCTTAGCCTTATACTTGATACTTAAGGACTCGACAATTGTGACAACAAAAGTGGCAACCAACATCAATAGAAGGCAACTATAAGAGCGTCCCAAAGTTCCTTTGCTATAGAATAATATAGGTAGGATCCTCTCATATCTTCTTCCATTCAATTAACAATCCAAGTCATAACCATGGAATTCTCTGCATCCAGTGTTGCATAGGCTGGATCAGTTTCAGCCGGCTTTATTGTGGTTCCAGTTACATATCCCAGACGTCCTCGATCGTGGATAACCATAAAAGCAGATCGAGACCATTGGAAAAAGTATTTGCCATTCAGCCGTGTTATGGTAATTTGGAGGGAGGAGTTTTCAGATTGAGTGGCCATAGGAAGATGATTAGGAGTGGTGGATACACTTATAGAGATAGGTTCAGGCATCCCTATGGAGACCCTCGAATCCTCATCTCTGTGTGCACCACTCACGGCCATTTTGACCATTTCACCTACTCAGATTACCCTTGGCTTTGATACCATATAGCTGGGGAGAGGGAGAGAAGATATGCCACAATAGAGTATGGTAAATCAATCTTATTATTAACTCCATTTGAATACAATTATTTGTAGGACCAATGTACACACTATGATCCTTTGTTCTAGGGATATCTACCAAAATTTAGATATATGCCAATCCTATAAACCGGGAAACAAATTATATGTTGACAATTATAAAACCAAGAAATATGGAAACAAATAACCACCAAATCTGCCTCTAATTCATGGAATTCTCAACCGTTTATAATCATGAATGGTGTTGGTTTTGACTTCAGTTAGAAATAATTAGAAGGCGGCAGCATGAGTTTTAGAATTTTTGCACGCTTCTCTAGTCCAAAGTCAGACCAGGATCCACATATGCAGTGTATAATAACTGAATTAACGATGCTAGTATAGATTGTGAGACGTGTGTATATCTGCTCAACACGTAATTGCATTTGTGGGCAAGGGACTAGTTCTTTTCACATTAGAGAGTTCAAGGTGGTTTACAAGTTTTGTCCAATAAAACTGACTTGACTCAGATTTGGGAAGATCAGATGCCTCAAACTTCAGATCATCCACTAGGTTACTGAAATCTGTCTGTTGCTTCTCGGTAAATAAATTTTTCTACCAGTAATTGTGCACACCTTCCTAGTTGTAATGACAATATTTATCATGATACCGTTAAGAGGTTCTATGACATTTTTACCTACTAATAAATTTTTGGTTCCGTACTTCAATAGATGCTTCATCTGTGTTCTACTATAGTGTTCATGGAGAGAGATAATTTATTACATCTACTGTGATTGCTGTATTTATCATCCTGACCTTTTTTATCATTAGGTTAGGAACTCAGCAGTAAGGACACTCTTCCAAACTCTTGGAATTCATGGACAGAAGCTTTCGAAGAGCATGTGGGAGGATTGTCTTTGGAATTATGTCTTCCCTACATTGGATTGCGTGTCTCATATGGTACATTAGAATGGTTCTAGATGGGATAATTCTTTTCCCTTTCTCTTGACTAAAACCAGATTCTTCTTGTAGGCTGCAACCTCATCAAAAGATGAATGGCAAGGGAAAGAACTTGGAACTCGCAAAGGAAAAGCAGTTCATATGCTCATACATCATAGGTATACGAACATTTGTTTTTCTACTTTAAGCATAAATTTCTCGTCTTTGGAAATAACCTGGTGATAAAATCTAAGTGGCATATTCAATAAATTGTCAGTCGAAATACTGCTCAGAAGCAATGGAATGAGACACTTGTCCTGGTACTGGGTGGAATAGCCCGGATTTTACGGTCTTTTTTCCCGTTTCTTAGAAGATTAAACAACTTCCAGTCCGGTGAGTTTTCAAGTTTCTGCATTAACGTGTCTTTGTAGCTTCAAACTATTGTCATAGGTACCATTGAAATATTATTTTGCATTTGCAGGATGGGAGTCTTTGCTTATATTTGTCAAGAATAGCATTTCAAATGGTAGTAAAGAGGTGGCGCTGGCAGCAATAAATTGCTTACAGTCCACTGTGGTTTCTCAGTCTCCAAGGGTAACCATTCCCTATCCATTTATTTCTTTCTTTACTTGGTTGTTTTTCCCTCAATAATTGTAGAAATGTTGTATTTTCATCTCCTCTGATAACTTGTGTCTATAAACTAGGGACATCTCCCATCAGTGTACCTAAAGTCAGTACTTGATGTCTACGAGATCGTCCTTCAAAAATCTCCGAACAGCAGTGCTGATGCAACAAGCAAGGTGAAGCAAGAGATTTTACATGGTCTTGGTACAAAATCAAAACCTCCTCTTTTTATTACTTGTTCCCTGAACTATAATAGGAAACATATCATGATTCCTTTTATTGCCATGCAATACATTATATGGTATTATACATGATATTTCCCTTACGAAGTCGGAAATGCATATACAATTCTAATTCTCCAACATATTTAAATTTTTACAGGAGAATTATATGCGCAAGCACAAGGGATGTTTGATGATGGCATGTATAAACAATTGATATTGATAATCGAATCAGCAATCGCCGAGGCCAAGTTCACCATTAACAACTTTGAAGCTGAATATGTGAGTAATGTTTTTGCATGACGTATAGCTCTCTGCGTACACTATTTGACTTTGGTCTGTAAATCATAAAGAACTTGCATTTAGAAGTTGTGAACAAGGCTTTAGACGTGCAACTAAAGATTAAATCGTCGAAAAACTGCTGAGAAGGCAGCATTTCAGAAACTAAAGTTCTGATTTATTAAGGTTTGATTTCCTTCTCAGGGACATGTTCCACCTGTACAACGCACTATACTGGAAATTATTCCACTGTTACGTCCAGCGGGACATCTTAGTTCAATGTGGTCTTTTCTCCTTGGGATTTTATTGCATTATCTTCCATCAGCTGATTCTTTGATAGATAACAATGAAGACGATTCCAAACAAGTCAGCACGAGTAGTCTATTAGGCAATTCAGCTGGTGTTGTCCCTTCAACATTAGAAAAGAATGAAGAAGAGTCGAACCAGAGCTCTGAATTAGTATCAGCTAAAATGGCAAACAATACAACGAATCTGTTTTCTGATAAGCTTCTACCCTTGCTAGTTGATCTCTTTCTGCAAGCTCCTGCTGTGGAAAAATATGACATTGTTCCTGATATCATAGAAGGCCTGGGAAGGTGAGGAGTGATATGTAGATACAAGTTTATCTTCCCAGAAATTTCTTTGACGTGTGTTGCATTAGTTGCATCTTGCCAATATCAACAGTAGTTTGTATAATTTGGTAGAAATATATCCTGATATTTTTGTAGGTGCATGACAACAAGAAGAGACAATCCTGACGGCACACTTTGGAGAGTAGCTGTTGAAGGCTTCAACCGCATTCTAGTTGGTGATGTCAGCATCCTGAACCCAACCTCAAAAACAGATCTACCAATTAGCAGACCTTCGAGAATACGTTTCTGGAAAGAACTGGCTGATGTTTATGAATTATTTCTAGTGGGGCATTGTGGCCGTGCACTGCCTTCCAATGCAATCTCAGTGACTGCACTTCAGGCTGATGAGTTTCTTGAGATGAAAACCTTAGAAATTCTGGGAGATAAGATCCTTGCATCACAGATTGATGCACCTGTTGATGTAATTCCTGCATATCATTTTGTTTATAGATATTTATCAGCGTTTCTTTTCTTGCATGCCTCTAATACCACCAGCCACATTTTGTGCATCTTTTGTATGCATATAACCTAATTTAAGAAATGTACGAGGAAACAAAGTAATCATCAAAGGTAACTAATAGTAGAGAAGTACACCTATTATTGTTGCGGTAACATATGAACTGCGCAATTTTTTGTACATGGAATCCCCAAAATTTTCAATTTTTTTTGGTTTAAACTTTCCTCCTTTTCATGGTTAGGAATAGGATTTTGGAGCATAACCTAATGTTCATGCTAGTTTTGGAGCCTCATAGTTTCTTCTAAGACCAATATGTTCTTTTATGTTCAGAAGAGTTTCCTTTTGATGTTCTTTTCTCATATAACTTCGTCAATGCCTTTGGTTCTCTGTTTCTGTGTTGTTTATATGTTATGGCATCGATTTTAGTTGTAAAACAGCAAGTAATCTTTCACAAAACCTTCCTGCTTTGGCAAGTACTTGTTCAATTGATATAGTTAAAATATTCAGATTCAGCATTCTTAGATTTGTTGTGCAACATTTGTTTGTTTGATTTATTTCAATTTACAACACATTAATTTTCGCAGATTCTACGAAGACTGATTTCTGCCCTTGACCGATGTGCATCACGTACATCTTCTTTGCCTATTGAAACAGTTGAACTTATGCCTTCTCACTGCAGCAGATTCTCTTTGACTTGCTTGCAGAAGTTATTTTCCTTGAGCAGGTACTTGAGTTTTTATGACAAAGTGTTATTAATATGTAGTCTAATTAATGTTTATTATGGTCACTCACATGTTGAGAATTTTACTTGCAGCTATGGAACAAGTGATGAGAATTTGACTATATCTGAAGTTAGTAAAATTTCAATTATGATACTGATGTCCAGATGTGAATTCATCTTGAAAAAGTTTATGGTAGATGAGAAGGACTTGGGTGTGTTTCTTCATTCCAAACAATTTCGGATTTCTCCTTTTTCCTTTGTTCACAGATCATCTTGAATCAATCGATTTTATTTTTTCTGCAGGAGAACATCCATTACCTCCAACAAGGGTTGAAGAAGTCATATTTGTACTCCAAGAGCTTGCCCGTCTTGTCATCAATTTAGACACGGCATCGGTTCTTCCTTTGCATCCTTGCTTGAAGGGAGGCCTCTTGGAAGAGAATCTTGGAACACACGCACATCTGCTGTTTCTACTTCCATCCTTCTGTGAACTTGTTATATCAAGGTATGCCAGTAATGTTTGTTTGAGCCAAACATCAGTCAATAGAACAATAAATGTAGAAGCATTAGCTAATTGTTATTTTAATTATATTCCAGTATGTAAACTTCTTCAACATTATAACTTGTTCTATTCTTGTTCTAACATTTATAACGTGATTTCTATTCTCAGCTAAAAGAATACTAAAAATAATAAGCCTTCGTTTGCGAAGAATTTATGAGCGGTTCCATTATAAAATAGATAGAAATGATTGCATAAGTAGATAATACTTGTGTGTCCATTGGAAAGTGGTGGAAAAAAGGTCATAGTATTGCAAAAGGATTGTTGTAGTTAATATTACGGATCTTGAATTGAAAAAGTGCAGTAAAGTATGCATTTAAGGAAAACAAGGTGTGGCACAATAAATGAGTCCCGTGTGCTTTCTTCTTATTTCACTGTGGCTTAAATTGTATATTGGTTACTTTTTCTGTTTACAAATTGTATATTAAGATCTCAACAACCCTTTTATGGCAGGGAAGCTAAAGTTAGAGAACTGGTGCTAGTATTACTTAGACTAATCACAACGGAGTTGGGTTTGCAGAGACATGATTTGGCGAGCTAATGCATTGGTTTGTCGAAAACAGGTATTAGCGGAGGAAATTTGAATTTTTTTATAGATGAAGAATTTTGTTTCCTTCTTCCTGTATTAAATTTCTACATGAATGAGTCCCGGTGTGGAGATGGTTTCATTTCTCAAGCCCAATTTCAATTGATAACTAATAACCCACCCACTTAACTATTAAACCAATTAACCCAAACCTAACTAATAACCAATAACCCAACCCCTTAATTAATAACCCAATTAATTGAATTAATAACCCAGCCAAACCCATAATTCATTACAATCGACCGAACGTTGTGGAAGACGGCGACTGGGTTGGTGGCTGGCTCGACGAGGGACTGGGTTAGAAGACGGTGACTGAGTTGGTGGACGGCGATTACTGGAGCAGCCGGCAGTTTGCTGGCGGCTGTTGGCGGCGGCGAGGCTGAGTTCCGTTCCGGGCAGGTTGCTGGAAGATGGCGGCTGAATTTTTCTTGTTTTAGTTTTGCTGCAACAGATTCTGGGATTGTTGCTGTCGGTAAATTTTCAGTTTGTGAGTTGGGAAGGTGGAAGCGGTGGAGGAGAAACTGAATAATTCATTTATAGGCGAAGGCGGCTAGTGATTGTCTGGCTGGTTGTTCGGCTTCTGCTGGTCGTGGGGTGTGATATGAAAAAGCCTTTGTTTCAATTGTTGGCTGTATTACCGGTAAGGTGATTGTCTGTCGAGGGCGGGGCTGGGGTCTGCAGCAAACTGAGTATTGGCTGCAGTAACGGGTCCTGTATTGATGCTGTGTGAATTGCTGTCCAGGGTTTGCTCTGATACCAATTTGATGTAGTATCAATTAACAGAGAAAGAAGGAGGGGAGGGAAGAGGAGAACACGCTGTCTCGAAGCAAATGTATACCAAAGAGAATTAATTCATCCTGTAAAAATGTTGAAAATTATCTTTTGATTAATTTGTAAATTGAAAAATGAAAATGGTAGCACTTTTGCATGGTTCTCGAACGTTGTATGCAAGAGAGAATTTACTATTCAGTATTAAGAATGACATGACATGACATGACATATGGTGCTATTGAGAATTCTCGTGGCTGTTCCATCTTTTTGGTTGCATAGAACAACCATCGTATATTGCTACTGCTGTCTCGAAGCAAATGTATACCAAAGAGAATTAATTCATCCTGTAAAAATGTTGAAAATTATCTTTTGATTAATTTGTAAATTAAAAAATGAAAATGGTAGCACTTTTGCATGGTTCTCGAACGTTGTATGCAAGAGAGAATTTACTATTCAGTATTAAGAATGACATGACATATGGTGCTATTGAGAATTCTCGTGGCTGTTCCATCTTTTTGGTTGCATAGAACAACCATCGTATATTGCTACTCTCATCTTTGTCAAGGACATACACTACGGAATTACTTAGTTTTAATTCAAGGATATGGGATTAGATGAGTATGTTTCATCAAACTGCTTATGTAAATTAGACATACATTGACGTTAGGGGAACAGACAAAACTCCAACCCAAATCATGTTATTTAGTACACGATTCAACTGCCATAATCATGTTAAATCAAGCATGTTCACTCAGTACGTTGATTCTATCTTGCTAATCCACGAACATTATAATTGCATGTTTGTAATTATAAATCCATGATATGCGCAGAGGCGACTCAGGAGTCATAGGAGTTGAAAAACTTTTCGAGGGGCCTTTTTGAAGTTATGATAGTACAAAAAAATAAATAAGTAAAATAAAATAAAAATATTAACTTTGTAATTGAATAAAACAAATAAAATCGTAACCAAATACAAGTACAATAATATACAACAAATAGTCCTTTTAAATTTGCAAAAACAAATTTTTAAATTGCCGGCAAAAGGCCACGGGAATACAACTGTGATAATCCGATTTTCAGGAAATAGAAAATCGCGTCTGGGTATTCTATCAAAGTGGAAATTACACCATAAACGATGTTTTTAATCCATATTCATATTTTACTATTAGCCATTTTTTAAACCAAAAATACTGTGATTTTTATAGTAAAAATGATAACGACAAAATTACATCTCTCATCAATTAGTTGATTCAATAGTTATAATCAATACACCAAACAAGGCATAGCTCTGTCATGGGTCGAGTTTCGTTACACTTGAACTATGTTAGAACTATGCGGCTTTAACGCTCCACAACTCTCGTCCGCACGAAATAGCGTTAAATTAGCCTTAACTCTCAATAATTAATTTAATCAATGAGGTTAAATTATATGTTAACTTTGGTAGAAAAGGTAGATAGAAAATTTATTAGGAAAAAAGATCGCACATATATTTGGGTAAAACTTTCTTTGTATTAATATAAGAGAGAACTATGTACAAACTAACTACAATTTTCTCTTTACAAAGATATCACTCTATGATATCACTCTATCTCACTATATTCTCATTCCATCCATGGGAATTTTCCTCAACTCTCTATTTTTCTCTCTACTCATTCATGTCAATTCATATGAATTCCAAATGACCAAGTTCCTCTATTTATAGGCAAACTCAAGGTATGCAAGTTGGTATCCAAGGGCTCTCATTTGTTGCAAGTTGTCTTAAACCTCATTTGACCATAAAGTAGCCAAGTTGGAATTGATTACCTCCCACAACTCTCGTCCGCACGAAATAGCGTTAAATTAGCCTTAACTCTCAATAATAATTTAATCAATGAGGTTAAATTATATGTTAACTTTGGTAGAAAAGGTAGATAGAAAATTTATTAGGAAAAAAGATCGCACATATATTTGGGTAAAACTTTCTTTGTATTAATATAAGAGAGAACTATGTACAAACTAACTACAATTTTCTCTTTACAAAGATATCACTCTATGATATCACTCTATCTCACTATATTCTCATTCCATCCATGGGAATTTTCCTCAACTCTCTATTTTTCTCTCTACTCATTCATGTCAATTCATATGAATTCCAAATGACCAAGTTCCTCTATTTATAGGCAAACTCAAGGTATGCAAGTTGGTATCCAAGGGCTCTCATTTGTTGCAAGTTGTCTTAAACCTCATTTGACCATAAAGTAGCCAAGTTGGAATTGATTACCTTACAAGTGGCATATCTCTACACTTGCAAGCTACCTTGTTGCATTGTATTTTGCTTCTTTTCCAGCTCTATGCTAGTTGGCATGTCATGTTACCTTTTAGGGAAAATTGCAGTTGAGGTAACAAACATTTTGTTTATTAGCAGACTTTGCTCAAACCTTTAGTTTGTGCCACCTACAGTTCCAAACTTTTCAAAAATATGCACCAGAGGTCCAAATGGATGGAAACCGTCCGTTTGACCGTTAGTTGACCAATAACATTGAATTTTGACCAATTTTTGACCAACTTAAAGGGTAAAATGGTAAATTTGCTATTCAATTCTATAATAAAACAAATAAATTAATATACCAAATAAAAATAAAAGAAACTACTATTCTTCTTCTTCTTCTCCCCCCTACCTCACCCCACCCTACTCCACCGCTGTTGCAATTTTCCCAATAAATGATTTCTTCTTCACCCTACCCATCTGGGCTGCAATTTTCCCTAATCGAAATGGAAGATCGAAAGCCAGAAAACAGCAGATAGAAATAGCAAATTGGTTCTCATTATTTCTCTCTGATTTTACAGGTATTAAGGCACGAAAATGGCATCAAACACTTCATACGAGACTTCATGGGCTGATCAATGGGACCCAGAGTCCCTCTACACTACTTATGACACCAAGAAATCCAATAATGGCGGCGGTGCATCTACCAAATTCTTCTCCACTGTCAGTGACATGTTTCATAAAACTAAGGCAGTGGCTTCTACTAGCGTCGTGAAAGTTAAAGATGGAGCCTCCACTGGTATTCAATGGATCAAAGACAAGTGTCATATGAGAAATCAAATGGACCACTAGCCCGGGGACCTTTTCTATCATAGTGATATTCTGTTGTTTATTAATTTCTTAATTAGTTTAATCCCTTCGTAGTTTGTATTTGTTTGAAGCGATTATTAGGCATTTTCATGTAGGTTGCTGCCGGTGTTAATGGCTGAATTTTTGCTGTGGAGGCAGGTTGGGGATGGGTAGGGTGAAGAAGAAACCATTTATTGGGAAAATTGCAGCAACAGTGGGGTAGGGTGGGATGAGGTGGGGGGGAGAAGAAGATGAATAGTAGTTTATTTTATTTTTATTTGGTATATTAATTTATTTATTTTATTATAGAATTAAATAGCAAATTTTCCTTTCTATCCTTTTAAGTTGGTCAAAAATTGGTCAAAATTCAATCTTATTGGTCAACTAACGGTCAAACGGACGGTTTCCATTCATTTGGACATTTGGTGCATATTTTTGAAAAGTTTGGGACTGTGGGTAGCACAAACTAAAGGTTTGGACAAAATTTGCTAATAAACGAAAGGTTTGGTACCTCTACTGCAATTTTCCCTACTTTTATGCAAGTGGATTTCTACAACTCATGTGTGCAAGTGGACATGTCTTCATCATGGTGGTTAAGTTGGACTTTGCTTCCTCAAGCAAGTTGTCAAGTTGCATGTTGATCTCATTTTGCAAGTTGTCCAACTAGCTCAAATTGGCACACACTTACATCCAATACAATCGACTATATCCACGGTATTGCTTTCCCCTTACGATTGTGGTTTTCACCCAAGAAAACCAAATTTCCGTCCTTGCGTCCCCAGCCCATGTTTGCCTGCGTTGCTATTGCGTCCACTGTCGCAATCTGCCTACGTTGCTATTGCGTCCCCTACCATAATGCTTACAGTCTGCTTGAGTTTTGCCTATCTGCGTCCCCCTGATGCAGTTCCTGTCTTGGTCTTGCCTGCGTCCCTTGCCGTAGGTTCCTGTGTTGTTCTGCCTTGCTGTAGGTTCGATCTGCATCCCCTAATGCAGCACCTGTGTTTTCCTTACCTACTTCCCCTACCGCAGGTACTTTCGTCCAACCTTAATGCATTGCCAGTGTTACCTGAATTCCCCAGCCAAAACTTGGACGTATCAACTGCGACCGTGGGAAACGTAAGTCACTCTCCCATCAAATTTGGTGACGCACTCTTCGCCATATATCGTCAAAGCTTATACCTTATTTGCCATAAGGCTACCTCAAGTTCTCCTTTATGTCATGACATTCCCGCGTCATGCCAAGCCTCCAGTCATCACCTTGCGGTCCGTGACAGCCCGCTCAATTATCTTGCCAAAAGGAAACTCCCAAATCACAATCTTCCTGTTTGAAGAAAAATCCGAAATTTGATATCATCTTGAATCAGTTTCACCTCCAAACCTAATTTTTATTTCGTAAACCATACCAAGGAATCGATATCCATACTATAATTTTGCAGGTTCCGATTTTTTTTTGGCATTTTTGTAATCCCTAATAGCGGTGAAGACATTTACCATTTTGTCTTGAAAGGTATCATTATTGAATCTAAATGGTTATAGCGAAAAGTTATGTACTCTTTTATTGAAGTTTAGTGTAATAAATTTTTTTTTCTAGTTTCTAGAATGATTTTTATTGATCCTTTATTTGTTCTTAAGTGTTCTTGTTTTGCATCCAGAATTGTTATTTATGCTCACATCTATAATCAAGGCAGGTGGGATTACAATTGCTTCTTAGTCTCCATTGGTTCTAATGTTGTTACTAGAACAACATGGTGAGCTTTAAATCTTTCATATAGTTATCACCTAGAATAAGTTCTTTGAAGCATAGCGTACTATTTTCCATTTTTCTGTATACATATTCTCTTGATTTAAAACGAAAGTAATTATCTTGAAAGGAAAAGGCATGCATGAGTCTCAACTCCAAACAAAACCATAATGTTATAGAATGCTTTTTGTGGTGGATGATTACTGGGACTATGAGATTCCAACTTCTCTATTAAGTATGAAGTCTTTGAATGAGATGCATCTCTCTCCCCTCTCTCTCTCTCTCTCTCTCTCTCATTATTGACATAGATAGGTAGATTATGTTTGTTGAATCGCTCAATCCCAAACAAAATCATTATGTTATAGATAGTGGCGGACCGGCAGTTGGTCCCCA